CACAGCACCTGTACCGCAATCACAGTCGACAGAATCCTCCGGGCAATCCTCCCACTCAAATGACATCAACGATGAGACTGCCCCGGATAGTCCTCCGTCGCCCTCTCCCGTGTCTCTTGTCCGTTCTAGATGACTCCCTGCTCACTTATCTGATTACTATTGTCACACAGCCTAGACGATGACTCCTGTTGCTCCTTCCATTCCCTCTTCCAGTTCTCCACGTACTCGGTATCCTATCCACAATTTTATTCATTTTGAAAAATTACATGACAGGTATAAAGGATATCTTGCTGCTATTTCTTCAAATGCGGTGTCAATGAATTTTATGGATGCTATGCAACATGCCAATTTGCGATTGGCCATGCAACAGGAAATCGCGGTGTTAAAAAATAATCGTACGTGTGAGATTACAGATGTTCCTCTCGATCGGAAGGCATTGGGGTGTCAATGGGTTTATCGCACCAAGTTTCGCTCTGATGGTACAAAAGAACGTGATAAGGCACGTTTGGTTATTTTGGGTAATCACCAAGAGTTTGGTACTGATTATACCGATGACACGTTTGCTCCTATGGCCAAAATGGGTACGATACGTATTCTTTTATATGTGGTAGTTGCTAAGGGTTGGCTTATTCACCAACTTGATGTGAACAATGCTTTTTTAAATGGGGGTTTAGATGGTGAGATTTATATGTGGTTGCCTCATGGTTTCTCTATTCCTGACAAAGTGTGTCACTTACGTAAAACTCTATATGGTTTGCGTCCGTCTCCTCGGAACTAGTTTCACAAATTGAGTTCTGCTTTGCGTTTTTGGGGATTCAAACAAGCTCATAAGGACCACATCTTTTTCATCCTTTAGAGGGGGAGTGATATTCTGACTGTCTTGGTTTATGTTGATAATATTATAGTTGCAGGGAATAATGCTCCTATGTGTGATTCTTTCAAACGGTACTTGAATCGTTGTTTTCTACTAAAAGACTTGGGCCCGGTGAAATATTTTTTCGGTATCGAGCTAGTGTGTTCGTTCGTCTTCTGGGATGGTCTTATGCTAGCGTAAATATGCACTAGATACTTTACAAGAGGCTGGCTTACTCAGTTGTAAACTCGCGACCACCCCCCTCCCGCCATCTCACGGTTTGCATGCGTCGGGTGGCCCTCGTCTTCATGATCCGACACGGTTCCGACGTCTTGTTGGACGCTTGATTTGTTTGACGATCACTAGCCAGGATATTTGTTATGTTGTTCATGTTTTGTCTTGGTTTATGCAGGCACCCACAGTTGATCACATGAACGCTGCTATGCGCGTTCTTCGTTATATTAAGGGTCGTCCGGGCCAAGACATTCTCTTAAGTGCTACAAGTAATCTACAAATCTCAGTATATTGTGATTCTAATTGGGCTAGTTGCCTGATGTCACGTCGGTCAGTCAGCGGATATTATATTTTATCATGTTGGGTACTTCTCCTATTTCTTGGAAGACCAAAAAGCAAACCACGGTTGCCCATTCTTCTGCCGAGGCCGAATATAGGTCCATGGCAAACGTTTGTGTGGCCGAATTCAGCACCATGAAGTGTCCACACGCTACGTTCCTACTCGTTATTAATTAGCGGATATTTTTACTAAACCCTTGTCTAAAACTGCTTTTGATTTTTTACTTTGCAAGTTGGGCATTCATGACATTTATGCACCAATTTGAGGAGTGTTAGTAGATATTTGTATATAGGTTTTACTGTTACATATTGGGCCATACCCATTTCTATACTTGTATTTATATCATTTCACGATTAATGAAATCAACATCTAAGTTTCCGCTAAGTTTTCTGCAATTACGGAGTATAATTGAAGTCAAGAAAATTAATGAGAGATCACAAATTCAAGGTCCAATAAGAGCAGTAACATCTATCTTTGAGTTTCAATAAGTTGAGAAATGGAGAATGAACAATAACACCAACACATAATACCATTAAACACAATGGGATGTCACTATATAGGGCATGTTCTTTAGGGCTTGAACTCTTAACTTCCAGTTTCTTCCAGTTCCTTCTAGTTTCTTCCAGTTTTTTTCAGTTTCTTCCAGTTTTTTCTAGTTTCTTTCAGTTCTTCCAATTCCTTCCAGTTTCTTTCAGTTTTTTCCAGTTCCTTCCAGTTTCTTACAACTTTTCTCATTTTCTTCACATTCTTTCTACTCCTCAACCAATTACTCTAAAAATGATATATTTTAATGTGATTATTATTATTACTATTATTATTATTATTATTACAACTGTTATATTCATAACTATAGTTTATAAATTATTTTTTTCATCTCACTATTTTTGCGATTCACACTTATTATTATTTTTTCAGCTTTGATATGAATAAGACATTTTTTTGTATATTAGTCTACATGATAAAACAGGAAAACATCAATATGTTAAATTATACTAAAAAAATTATGGATAAAATAGTTACATTGAATGTTTTATTAATATAACTTTTTATAAGACATCTCAGTTTTCCCTTTATTACTTAAAAATTGCTCATTTTTCTAATTTTTATAAAAACAATTGTAAGTTAAAAGAGCTTAGAGAAAACGACTAAAATATGAGTGAAACATAAAAAATTGTAGACAAAAAAGTCTATGTCTTTATTCCAAAAATAGGAATTCAATGAAAATAAAAAGACTTCTTAAAATTTAATATTTTTATATTTATGCTAACTTTATAAAAAGTTCCTTCCAGTTTATTACAAAGACTTCTTAAAATTTACTCCGTAATTTTTTTATATTTATGCTAACTTTATATTATAATTATTTTTTGCAAAAGTAGTTTTTTGTATTTAAAAAATAACAATACTTTTTTTATATCTTAAACACATTGACTAAGATAACGTGATGATTATGATGATGATGATGATGATGATGATAATAATTATAATAATAATAATAATTTATAACAACAAGAATTTAAAATAAATATTTTTAAAGTTTTTTTAGGTTTTTCAATTTTTTGACGTTTTTCCAGTTTTTTCCAGTTTTTTCCAGTTCCTTCTAGTTTTTTCCAGTTCCAGTTCCTTCCAGTTTCTTCCCGTTTTTTCCAGTTTTTTCCAGTTCCTTCCAGTTTTTTTCCAATTTCTTCCAACATCCAGCTCTTTTTTTACAGTCATAAAGAACAGGCCCATAGTGACATAATGTCAAAGTGGAAACTCTTGTTTTGGTGATAAAAATATAGAACACTTATTTAACTCTTATTTTGGTGGTTTTTTTATTTTTGTCAATTCTACGTTCTGATTCGTTACCCATTTGAGATTGCCGGTCTCAGACTAGACTAGTCTCGAAGACTACTTCAGTCTTAATCTTTCTAGTCAAAATCTCCATCAAGATCGTAGGCAATTTTTTCTATGACCATCTTTTTGATCTTGTTTAACCCAACGTCCCAACCCATATCCATATTGATTTTGTAACCCTACAATATGGCCCTTCATGAATGGGAGTTGGTCAACATGAACCATTAAGGCATTAAATCTCCACCTCTTCAGTTTTCAACGAGTGGAGCAATTAATCAATAAATTCACACTCTTTGGCAACCAAAACGGTTGATTAATAAAACGAACCACCGCATGCACATTAAAGATGGACGGGCGGATGAAACGATGATGAATTGATGATATAAATAAAATAAATACTCCCTCTGTCCGGAAATTTTCTTCCCGTGTTGACTTGGCACGCTTATTAAAGAATAGTAAAAAAAATGAAAAATTTTCAAAAATGCACATACTATAAACTTTTAAATCTCCTTTTATTATTAAAAAAGTATTAAAAAAGTAGATTTGTGATAAAATAGAAGGGTATTATTGATATTTAGCCTTAAAAAACATACTAAAAAAGGAAATGAGAAGATTATTTTCGGACGGACCAAAAAGGAAAATGGGAAGAATATTTCCGGACGGAGGGAGTATATAAAATATACTCTCTCCGTCTCTAAAAGAGTTACCTGTTTACTATTACGGTTTTTCGATAACTCTTATTATTTGTATGTTTTAATTCGTCATTTGATAAAAAAATATTCTTGTCACTCTTGTTTTGTAAAGTTTTTGATATAGTTTTTAAATATAATTTTTTGTCTTTACTAATTTATAAATAAAATCATTTTAAAAGTCACAGGATTTTACATGTCGGTCAGAGAAATAAGTTCTTTTAAGAACGGAAGGAGTAATTCTTATATTTGAAATAGGAGTGACAAATATTCTTATTTTTTGAAATACGATTATTATTGTATCATGGATCCAATTGTGACACTCTTTTAAAAAAGAAAAAGAAATTATGGAGGTAAAAATTTATTTTAAAAATTAAAACAAGAGTTTCAAAAAAATTGAAAATTGAAAATTCATAAAAAATAATCTCAACTTTAATTTTGTTGTGCAAAACGGGCCGTTTCCGTTAATCTGCTGTTACTAACGTAACGACGATCCAAAACTCGCAAGTTTTCGTAAAGATGAGATTATTATACATGACAGTAAAAAAGTGAGATTATTTTTTAAAGGTGAGATAGTTTTTCCTTACTTAATTGATACCTCTTGTTTCATTTAGAGAATTTTTCAACTAATTATAGTAACCCCGAAGTTATATTTATGAATCTAGCATAATCTCACTGTTGACATCAAGGACAAACACATACTTTTTCTCATATATTTATTTTTTGTGTTACCTTTAAGATATTTTTTTTCATCCTATGTGATTGGTCCCGATCTGTACTTATTAATCTAATGGAATTTAAAGTTTTTCGTGTCTAACTTTACAATCATGTTAGGGGTACACCAAAAAATGTAACATAAGTTTTCTCTCAAAAAAATGGACCAATTTTAATGGCTCGCGCTAACACAAAATGTTAGTTCACTTAAAAAAATTTACCCTGATATTTTTTGTCAATGTAAGACATTATTAGACTACACAAAATGTCAGTGCATGCATTTAGGGTATAAAATGGGACACAAATAACTTAATCCCTACCATTAATGCCATGGGGAGTACTATATATATAGATGCCCTTTCCATTTCTCAACCATCACAATCCCATTCCATTTCTCTACTACGTAACACTTGCATTAATATAATAATCTGTTCTTCTTCTCTTCTGTAACTGATCAGTTCCGATTCAATGGCCGCCGCCGGTAAGATTGAGGTGGAGGTGGAGGTGGCCGTCCGCGCCGGAAAGCTGTGGGAGAGCATCAAGGACTCCGTCAACGTCTTCCCCAAGGCCTTCCCTAAACAGTACAAAAGCATTGAGGTTCTCGAGGGCGACGGCAAGTCCGCCGGCTCTCTCCGCCTCGTCAAATATGCCGAGGGTATATTTATATTTTTTGCTAAAATGTCTACCTTTTTTAATGTGGTTTTTTTTCATAGTAATTTTTTTAATGTAATTAAATCATTCACCATCACTTGAAAATTGTTATTTTTTTTTATCTTTTGAAACAAGATCTTGAATGTTTCATTCAAATCAATTTTCATGTGTAACCCTTTCATATAATAACTTAATAAACTAATACTTTTCTTCACAAAATGATTTCTTTTTGTTACAAAAAATAATTTTATTAAATTTTTGTCGTAAAATTTTTATGAAACTTTACCAGTATTTTGTTTAATTAATTTATGATGCATTTTTTATTTGATTATTGGTTAGGATTGACGTGGGTTGATTATAAATATTTTGAGATGAATGGAGCAATCATATATTCTTTTTACTATCACCGAAAAATTGGAAAGCTAATCACAAAGTATTTTTTAAAATTTGTCAAAATAAACCCTTTTTTTGAAAGAGGAGTAGTAAACTAAATCTTTTTAATAGGTTGAGAAAAAATATGTTTTAAAAAGTAATTAAAATATTATTTGTATGAACTATAAATGAAGGGACACCATTGGTGACATTCTCAAAGGAGAAGATAGAGTCAGTGGATGATGAGAAGAAGGCATTGAGCTACATTGTGATTGAGGGAGAGGTCCTTCAGGCCTACAAGAACTTCAAGGCCACCCTCTCTGTCGCCCCGAAGGGCGATGACGTCAGCGTGGTGACGTGGCGCGGGGACTTCGAGAAGGCCAGCGATGACGTCCCCGAGCCTGTCTTCATCAAGGATGCTGCCGTCAAGACCTTCAAGGACCTTGAAGCCTATCTCAAGGCATAGAATTCAAGTTTTTAATTTTCAGTCCCTTTTTTTTCCAAGTTCATGCATGTGCTCCAATGCACTCAATAAATAGAGTTCATTTTAATGTCTGTTTTTTTTTTCTTTCTTTTTTGAAAGGTGTCAAGGTCTAGCAATGACAAATTAAAGATGTTGTGTTTTTGTTGTTGCAAATAAAGAAATGTGTCTTCATCTCTTTTTTGGTTTTATATTTGCAAATTTTGGTTAAAAAGTGTTACATGTGCTTTTAAACTTGTCATTTACACAGACACACACAAAGAAGAGAAATATCTAAAAAGGTGGAAAGTCCGATATATATGATTTCCATATCTTCATCACCAACATGATTTCATTCCATGTATCAATGGCCCGAGGCAAACACCAATAACGAACACAATCGTTTGGGACCCGGCTTTTTTGTTCGTTGACGAAAGGGTTCGGAAGCATGTACGGACAAAGCATCGGGCCTAAGTAACGACAACTTGGTGCAATGCCTCTTTCCGAATCCTCATCCCGAATTCCCTTACGTTTTTCCTTGCTTCTTCCACTTTAGATATCGTGATCCCCCTCAAAATGTGTAGGCGGGAATGTTGTGACAATGACATCAATTGAGTCACATTTTCTCTCGAAGGTTGATTTAAAGGTAGTCTTATACGCCATCCCGAAAGCGCTGTAGTATCCAATTTCAGTATAATTTTGCCCTACACAAATGTGACACCCCAATGCAGGCAACACAAACCATTGCCTTATTGACAAAACCAAAACGAGAATAAATCAAGAGAAAAAAACCGAAATAGGACTAAAACTTATCAAATATACCTAAATAGGACTCCAAAACTTAAATCCCCCAAATAGGACTTNAGAAGAAAAAGGTATGTGTTGACTCGAAATGCGCTGAAAAGCAATTTGGAAATCAAAGCTGGGTTGATTTTTGATAAGATTTGTCATAAGGAGAAAGTTTTGAGTAGAATTTCACATGCATTTGGAAATCAAAGCTGTATTTTGTATTTTAGATGAATTTCTTAACCCTAGTTACATATTTGTTAAATATTCAATTAGATTCGGTCATGTGGTTAGAGCTCTTGTGGTCATGTGAATTAAATTACTAAGGAAATTTGTGTTTCAAAATCAAATCCTTTATAGTTGTATCATATGGTCTCATCATTTGTCTTGTGGACATGTGGACATGTGGGATTCATTCTGTGAAAATTTCTGTTTTCAGCATTGGTTGTTGTATCATATGGTCTCATCATTTGTCTTGTGGACATGTGGACATGTGGGATTCATTCTGTGAAAATTCCTGTTTTCAGCATTGGTTGTTGTATCATATGGTCTCATCATTTGTCTTGTGGACATGTTGGATTTAAATGCATAACAAAAAATAAAAATATTCAATGGTTAATATGCAATTAAAAAAATTCATGATAGTCCAGTAAAGTATGTAATGTGGATATTACCAGTGTCATAATCTGTAATGTGGTGATGAATATTACGAACCATTGTAATGTAAAGTGTCATAGTATGTAATGTGGTAATGTGTATTACAAAGAGTTGTAATGTAGATGGGGCAAGATTGTGAAGTGTGACGCAGAAAGAAAAAGAAGGGCAAAATCGGGAGAGAAAGAAAGAATATGGCGAGAGAGGTCCTAATTAGGGGATAAACACAATGTTTTAGTCCTATTAGGGGTGATTTCTAATAAATCAACTCGGATGTGGAAACCGTGGCCAAATGCATCTTAGCTAGCGAATCGCATGCACACAATGTCCCAAGAAACGTTTCTGGGTCAAACCTCTGAAGTTGACATTCATTAGGGCCCCACCTCCAATGGAGATGTATTCCACATCAGGCCTTCAATGAGACCTGCAATTCCTCCCTTCTTTGATTGTCCCACAACTCGTCTCATAGTACAACGGCCCCACCTTGTTGCGTACCCATTTCCCGTTGTGTAGTCACATACATGTTCCTTATATATAATTAAATATATATTCCGAATATATTTGTCAAACTCTCGAATCGAATACCCTAGCTTTTATTCATATTTGTATTCGATAAGGATCGATTTGAATATTTATTCAGAATCGTATTCGTATTCGGATTTGAAAAAATCGAATACGAATACGAATACGAATCACGAATCAAACAAATTAGGAATAAAATATTGAAAATATACCAAAATAAGAGTTTCATGTTTTTATTTCCAAAACAGGAGTTAAAATGCATTTACATTACTAATCATGATCATATAAATTACCAAAAAGTATAGCAATATGCACATGTACAGTGTCACGTTACCACAATGCGAACTCCTATATAGGGAATAAAAACATGGAACTCCTATTTTTATACGATCTTTATGTCTTACTTCTATTTAGAGTGATTTTTTTTCAATTCAGTGGAGTCTACAATAGTACTTCATTGGTTTCATATTATTTTTTCACTTTTAATTTTTTACGATAAGCTAGAGTCGATTTTGATTTATAATTTAATACAAATAACTCACCATCTCTTCCAAATTAACTTGTCGGTATATGATTCACAAGATCAAATTTTATTCACTTTTTTTTCTCTATTTTCGTTATTCATTTGATAAAATAATATAATCATGTCATGTCTTGTTTTATAGAATTTTTGATACAATTTGTTAAAACATATAAATTTTATTTTTCAATTTCTCATCAATATTCAAATAAACTATATTGAAAATAACTTTAATTAAATATCGTAGACCAAAACAGACGATTTAAATTGAGACAAAGAAAGTAATGTTTTAAATAAAGAAAATAATATTTAAAAATATTTTATATGATAATGAATTTTATAAAAGTGTTCCTGTATAAATTTAAAATATAAATTTTATTTATTCAATAATCAAAGTTTATCAATTTTAATCACATAAAATTAAAACATATACTATTGTCAAAAGAAGGTATTAATAATAGCGCAGCACACCAGTCAAAAAAGCTAAGAGCCTAAGACAACCCGCGCCAGGCTATCAGCTACTCCCCAGTAAATTTTGCACCAAAATTTAAGGATGAAACTCCACTGCGTCGGTAAACGGTCGTCGTCCCCCTTCCATCTCACCCCATATTTTATCAGGTAAATCCCGGCCCCGGCGACATTGCCGACGTCGATCTCCGGCGAACAGAAGCGGTGATCGGATCATCAATCCATTAACAGGTACCTTCTCTTTCATTTCCAGATCTGCAATCCCTTTACGCCTTGTATTCAGGCTCACAGGTGCATATACATTCATATTTAGACGCTGATTTTCCTGCAATATCCAATCCAGCAGGATATTTTTCTTCTAGGTATAGAATTAAGATTGAGAGGTTGAGAAATGAATTCGAATTACGGGATGTGGAATGCCAAATCGGGTTCCATGAACAATTCGGAGTTGGATATAGGGCTGGGCTCCGGGCGTTCCCGATCTATCAATGAGCAAAAGAATCAGACCTCGTCCTATTCGTCATCTTCGCATACAAGGCCTCATTCGGCGGCATCTTGGACCCACCAGGCGAACAATAACAAGCCGTCCTGGACTCACCAGCCTGTTGGATCATTGTCCGGACCGAGGTCATTGGTTGGGGATATCTCTGGGAAGAGTTGGGGGTCTTTGCCCCCCGCGAATGCTGCCAATGTTTCGTGTGGTGTGGGTTTGGTGAACAAGGATCCTAATTTGTTTGGTGATTTGGTGAACTCGGCGTTTGGTAACAAGGGCAGTAGCAATGTGCCCCTGAAGAGTTCTGCGTCTTCGCTGAATAAGAATTCATTTTCAATGGGGGGTGTGGCGGAGTCCTTGCCAAAAACAAGTAGCTCTGTCAAGAGCGGTGGAATTTGGGGATCTAACCAGAATTTTGGAAGCTCTAGCAGTAGTGGATATAATACTAATGTTGGTAGTGGCAATGTGAATGCGCGTGGTGCAAATATTACAAGTTCTGGGCTTGGAGGGCCACCAATGAGTAGTAAAGTTGGGGGCAGCGGTGGAATGGGAGCAAAGGACCCGTTTAGTACTTTGGTTGATTTTGGCTCGAAACCAACTCCCGGTGTGAGCTCGGGGAGTCATGTGGATGATGCATTTGGAGATTTTCAAAATGGTTCGAAGTCTCCGTTGCCATTCTCGTCAAATACTTTCCCCTCTAGTAACACTGCTTCAGCTCCATCTAGCGCAAACACTTCTCATACGAAGGTAGATGACTATGGATTTTCTAATGCCCAGAGTGCACCATTTGCGCAGCCGACCTCGGGTGGAATGGATTTTGATTCTCTTTTCCAGTCATCTACGACCTCGTATGAGGAATCTCCTGGGGAGAGCCAGCCTTTTTCAGGGGGTAATGATTGGGGCTTCGAGTCTGAGTTTGGAGGAAATGATACTGGTGGGACAACCGAGCTTGAAGGGCTTCCACCGCCACCTTCTGGCCTTAGTGCTTCAACTGCAAAGAGCAAGGGCATGGATAATTATAAGCAAGGACAATATGCCGATGCTATAAAATGGTTATCGTGGGCTTTCATTCTTCTGCAGAATGCAAGTGATATAGCTGGGACTGAAGAAGTGTTGTCGTGTAGGGCTTCATGTTACAAAGAAGTTGGAGAATACAAGAAGGCTGTGGTTGACTGTACAAAGGTATATGTCTCTCTTTTGCCCTGCTCAAAGTTTGCAGTTTTTCATTGTATCATGTTATTCACTTATTTATTACTATCTCCGTCCCAAATTAGACTTCCTGTTTGTTTTTTCACGTAGTTTAAGAGAAAATGTGAAACTGTTTGGTTGAAATTTATGCTCAGGAGAGAAAATGTGGAGTATTAATTTTTGTTTTTTAAATTAAGATCAATATTTGGTTGATTAACAAACATTACACCCAACCCCTCATCTCTCCCTTCCAGATTGTTGCTCTTGTCCATTGTCATATGTCCACGAACATTTAGAATTGTAGATAATAATCTCACAATCCAAGCTTACATAATTTTTAACCAACACCATTAATATTTTCTTACTCAAATCCATTCTTATTTCACATGATTCATATGAGTATATTTTCTGCTATGTGGCATTAAGTTTGGTATCATTGGATCACATCTCTCTCCCATGCAGCATACACCATATGAGTATGGTAAATCTCTATGAATGCTAAACTTATTTCCCTGTGGTGATATTTTTTACCCTCTGTTGGTCTTTTCATTGTTGTACACTTGCACCGTTGAACGGGTAACCCCCCCCCCCCCCTCACCCCCACCTGAAAAATGCAGCAAATATTTACCCGCATTCCACCAAGAGTGAATAATTGCCTTTCTTCTACGCATCTCATGCCTTCATCCACCATAGCTGCTAAATACATAATAGCCTTCTGTATTCCTGTGTGCAGGTGCTAGAACGTGATGAAACGAATGTATCTGTCCTTGTACAGAGAGCCCTATTGTATGAAAGTATGGAGAAGTACAAGCTTGGAGCTGAAGACTTGAGAACTGTTATGAAACTCGACCCAGGTAATAGACTTGCGAGGAGTACCATTCATCGCTTGGATAAGATGGCGGCGGCTGACTAGAGATGCTTCACAGAATTGCTCCACAGCCACCCCTTTTGTTTACAGATATATCTGCTGATATACTGTATATTATTTCCTTCTTGCATCATAGTAATTTTTCTCTATTCTTCTTCTGTGTGTGTTTTTACCTGTATTTTTTACAGGCAATTTCTCTTATTGCAAACTGTTCTATCTTCATTGGTACAAAGTGCTTGGAGATCTCTCATTCTCATACATACTTGTGAACTTTCTCTATGTGAATTAATGTTATTCACAATTACCAATGCACTGTAACTGTGGGATTGGTTATAGTCATGTGATAGCTTCAATAATGTACTAATAGCTTGTTCTCAATTCATAGGTAGTACGAGTATTACTTATTCGTAAATCAGAAACAATTTTAAATATAATTACAAATAGATTAGATCAAATCAAAAATAATTTTTAATAGAATTAGATCACATCAGAATTTAATTCAATCAAACCAGAACCAATCAGATTAGGTGTAGAGAACAAGCTCAACTCCTTTCTCCCATGGAGAACCTCTTAAGACAATTCATCCAGTGGTAAAAACAAGACAACAACTGAGATGAAGATCACGTTTTTCTCAATTTATTTTTGTTCGGATCATATCAGATCAGAAAAAGTTTTAGAAATAATTGTAATTAGATTAAATAAGAATAGAGTTTATTCCAATCAAATCAAAAGCAATCATATCAGGTGAAGAGAATATGACCGAAGTCTGAACAAGTTTGGCATGAATTCTTTTGCTAGCTAACTTAAAAAATTGTTTTATCAATTTGTGCCTTAGTTACACACTTAACCAGCAACAATAATAAGGATCATTCTTGGCACACATCACATTTGACAACAAAGAAAGATTTTGCAGCTACAATAAATTATTCACAAACTTACCTACAAAATTTGGATGTGAAATTCTTATTTGGTGTAAAAAAATGGTGTGCCATGTTTAATTGACATAATCACGTGTCATTAATTTTTTTATTGATTTAACCCATGCAATCACGTGTCATTAATTTTTTTATTGATTTAACTCTTTGAATGCCATGTTTATTCCTTAATAAGTAGGGATATGCTAGGAGTACACCAAAGGTGTACCCCAAATGTACACAATCCCCCTCTTTACCGTTTATTTTATTTTATTTTTATTTTTTACTTTTTTTAAATTTTTCTTACCTTTTTTTGTGGTGATGAAGGGGGTGGGGATGTTTGGGGTACAGTTTTGGTGTACCCCTAGCATTTTCCTTATAAGTAACACATCTTTCTTTTTGCATTTTTCCCTAGGGAGATGCTAGGGGTACACCAAAGATGTACCCCAAATGTACACCGCTCCACTCTTTACCACTTATTTTATTTTGTTTTTATTTTTTATTTTTTTTAAATTGTACTTGCCTTTTTATGTGATTATAGAGGGGGTGGAGATGCTTGGGGTACAGTTTTGGTGTACCCCTAGCATTTCCCTTTTCCCTCTCCAAATTTCCTAATTTTTCTGGTTGTTTTTATACTGGTATTTACGGAGCAATATTTTTTCGAGGAATGCTAGAGGTACACCATTTGGTGTACCCCATTTGTACATCAACAATCATAGCCATAGATTTCCCTTAATATTTTTAATTTTTTTTCTTTTCTTGTTTTTGTGTGGTGGAGATGGAGGGGTACAAATAGGGTACAAGAATTGGTGTACCGTGGCATTTTTGTATTTTTTCTGTCTTCCAAATCCCGTAAAGGTAGGAATCTGTGTGCGTGTGAGTGAGAGCACTCTGAGAGTCTGAGGAGCTCTGGGAGAAAGAAAGGGTTATGCTACACTTACACCACAAATTTTATTTGTACACCACAGTTATATACAAACATTTTGATGGTTTACACCGAAACAAGTGTTGGTGCGTTAACGAAAATTTACATGAACAACAGAAGTATTGGTACATTAACAAAAAAAAGTGGAAAGCTACCGGTACAAAGTGGTGTAAACATGGGTACAAAAAAGAAATCGTCTAGCCAACAGCTTCGCGGGAGGAGGCGCCTTAGAACATCGGGAATCGACTCTCCGATAGTCCGATTCTGGTCGGTGAGTGAGTTTACTCTAAGATCGTTTTTCGATTTCTTTGATTCCATTCTGGAAGAGGTTTGGGGGAGAACGGTGCTGAGTTTGCAAACAAGGGACGGAGTTTGCACACAGGATTACCGCCGATGGGGGAAGGTTGTCCGTCCGGCCGCCACTAGGGCGGCTGTCGCAGGGACGGTCGCCGCAAGACGACTGTATGAATTTAACACAAGGGTTATTTTGGGTGTTGACATAAAGGGGAGTCTTTTATTTGGTTAATCACCCTATATTTCCCGCGCTTTCTCAGATGATATATTGTTTTTTTTTTTTATGTGAAAACCTTTTTGATACTCAATACTTCCCTTTTTTTTGGAAAATTTTGAGGCATTGGGATTTTTTCAAAGGTTCTCTCTTTTGGGGAGATGATTGAGTATGACCGATGGGTCATTTTCACTTGGGGTCCTTTTTTCTTTGATTTCTTCTCCTGGAACAATTTCATTTTCTTGCATTTTGAAACTGAGTGTAGTTAAGATTTAAAAAAAAAACATTCTTGTAGTGTATGCCACCCGATTATGAGTTACTTCTCTGTTTTGAAGATGATAGTTTGCTTGTGTGGAATTCTAAAGGATCCTACTCATGGATATGAACGTGACATTGAACACGGGATCATAGATTCAAGAACAGTTTAGAATCCAATTTTAATTAATTCTCTTTGTGTCACACGTTTTCAATCATATCCCAATGTAATTGGGCTTACTCATAAATCATTTTGGAGCTTCTTCCTTTAGCATTATATTTCTTTTTGAAGGACACAATAAAAGAATACATTTTTATCACTGCCTTATGTGATTGTACATACTCGTAACCCTTTCATGTGTCCAGATTACTCAATAGGCATATTTTTGTCTTTTTGAGGTGTACAAATGCAGGTCATGGGCTAATTAATGCAATTGGACTCTCAAATTTCCTTGTTTCAGTTTACAGCATTTTATGTACATTTGAGGTGTAAAAAAGAGGTCACTTTGCCAACAAGTGCAATTTTCTCATTGATGAACTGAATTTGACATTCTGATAACATTTTTTCAGTTTACGTCTTAGGCTTATAGGTAGTTTTTTAGACATACAAAAAACGTTGATTAGCCAGGGACGAAGGCGTAGCAGACGCATCCCGGCGAGAACGCAGACGCGCCGGAGCACCATCGTCAGAGCAGCCACGCATCAATCCCCGAGGAGATACCGGAGACGAAGCACCAAGGCTGGAGCATAAAGCAGTTCCAGCAAATCGAAAGCAGCAGTCAGCAAGGAGATTGGGTCTAGCAAAGGGACATGGAGGAACAATTCATACTCAGGGTTCCACCTTCCGTGGCTGAGCAAATTGACCGCCTTCTAAGTGAGAATGCTTCTTCAGAAGACACAGGACTGGATTTGACATTTTCTGAGGATGGTAGGAGTGGCACATTTGTCATTGGAAATGAACGCTTCCCTGCGTCCCTCTTGGATCTTCCTTGCATAATGGAATCTTACAAAACCTATGATGACAACGTGCTGATAAAAACTGCAGATATTGGTCAGATGATCATGGTTAGGGAAGAAGGAGATCCTGCTCCCGATGCAGCGGAGTACAGACATGGCCTCACCCCTCCAATGAGAGATGCTCGGAGGCGAAGGTTTCGCAGGGAACCAGATCTAAATCCGGAGCTTGTGAGGCGTGTTGAGAAAGATTTGCAGAATATCATGGCTGGTGGAACAGCAGAGAATATCGATGTGGGAGTTGCTGAACAGGAGGAAGATGCCGCGCGCGCTTCTAATAAGAAAGCGGCAGCACCTAAGCCTGCAACAAAGCCTCACGTTCCGCCCGAGCCTGAGAGAAGTGATTCTGATGAGTCGGATGATTCACTGTAGCCATCCCCCACCCCACCCCCACAAGCACACACCAAATCAGTTCTCACAAAAACTTTGTGGATAGATGTGTATGTATGCAGAGGAATATCTGCTTGAATCATACATTGACTTATATTTCAATTGTTGTCATTTGTGTTTCTGATCTTCATTCTCACCGATTTATTGCCTATGAATCGTGAGAGGGATAGATTGACAAAAAGTAATACTCCTCCCGAGTATTTGTCCTATATATATATATATATTGCTTTAACAATTCGTTTGAATAAAATTCAAATGTTTCAGAAATTAGCACTTCAATTTTTCACATCTTGGCTTTAAGTTTATGCTCAAAGTGTTGGCATGTTCTAATTTATATAGCACGTAGGGTCTTTTGTTTTCTTTGTGGGTTGTCAACTTTCAAATTTCAAGAATTTCAGATGTTTCCTCTCTAAGTTTTCAATTGTTATCGTTATCCATCAAATTTCTGTGATTTGTTGCCAGAATAAATGAGCTATCCTATATCGGTGGGCAGGTTTGTTTTTTGGTGTATGCAACAATGAATTAAAATCAAAGCGTATTTTATACTGCAGGCTGAAAGTTTCTTTTGGAGAAATGATATTTAGTTAGCACTGTGGCACAATTCACAATTGACGGTTGAATGAACAATTCTTTGTTTAATCAGCACTGCACTGCGGCACTACTCACAAATGACTGCTGAGAGGGAATGATCTATTTTCCAAGCATTGGAATTGGGTCCATGGCTGCCTAAAGTAAACAGCTGATCTTAATCAACAACATTGTTTTTTGATTTGATTGCTTTGGGTTATTATTGAGCCAAAATTTCACCTTTAGTTTGTATATAGTAGATGTCCAGCATCATCTCCAGAAATCTATTAACAATCCTCCACCGTCAAGGTGGCAACTCAGCTGAAATCTTAAAGTGCTCTCCTCAACCCACATGCTCTTCTCCCTTCCGGATTGCTGTGGCTGCTTTCTCCACTGTCTCCCAAAACCAGCCTCCCGGTGTGTGTGCACTCAATGTTGGTTAGCTTTCGATTTAAGGATCTTAGCTTTAATCGTTTTATTGAGCTATTAACATTGAATTTGCATTTGTTGATCTGCTGACCAGAAAATGACAAGCGGTCATCATGGTTCAATGTGTTCCTTTTCATACCGGGAGCTATCACATTTGGCCTTGGCACTTGGCAGATCTTCCGAAGAAAAGAAAAGGTCAGTTTGGTTTCTTGCCTCTCTATTTAATGAATTTTATTGTCATAATCTATGGACTTAGTTGCCTACTTTCGTCTTTTTGATTTTCCGGAATTATTCGCCGATTTTCCATGTTCAATAACTAAATTATTATTAAGGTGCTTAATATATCCTAGAGACAGAGTACAATTCTTATTTCCAAATATCATTTTTTTGTGACAAATTTTCTTCATCTACAAGAAATTTCTCTTTTTATTTACACCACTTTTTTTAAACCTTTCTTTGAAATGAAATTGGAAACTCATATAACTTTTTTTTTTTGCTTCGGTATCAGATAGATTCATTTACAGATCTATAAGAGGTTGACAAGTTCTTTCCAAATTGACTACTTGTGTCTTCTATCTTGTTTGCATCGCTCTGATCAGGCTTGATATAAGTGTTTAAATATCTTCTTGAGTTAGAGCAGTGTTGACATGAACGAGTGACAAACGCATTTGAAACTCATTCAACATTTTCAACACATTACTTAAAAATGAGATTTTTTTAGAAATGGGACAACTAAATCTAGACGGAGAGAGCATACTTTAGGGTAATTTCCTACTCCTTCCATCCAAATTTACTGTGCGTGTTTTAATCTTTGGTCCGTTCCAAATTATTGTTGCTGTTTATATTTGTAGAAAGTGCATTGTAGTTCACCGTGTTTGTCTCTCACTATTCATCATAATGACATAGTTTTTACTTTTTTAAACTTCCTGCCAATTCAAACTGGGCACAACAACTGCATTTGTACACAAGGAACAATTTGATTTTTTGTTTTTATGGGTATAATTTCCATTCTTACAGGTTGAAATGCTCGAGTACAGGCAAAATAGGCTAGGAATGGACCCTTTAAAATCCAATGAGTTATCACTCTCAAGTGAAGATTTGAATGGTCTTGAGTTAAGGAAGGTTCTATGTAGAGGGGCTTTTGATGAGATGAAGTCGGTTTATGTGGGGCCTTGTTCCAGAAGCATTTCTGGGGTGATAGAAAATGGCTACTGCGTTATTACTCCTCTCCTGCCAGTCTCTGATGACCCAAAGGACAGGTAGTGTTGAACATATTGACTATTGATTTTCCATTCTTTTTCTGGTAGCTGTCAATCTTCATTTCTTGTTGCATCTATTGCCGAAATTCCCAAGTGTCAGCTGCATTGTTAGTTACCTCCACTTGGTTGCACATAAATCGCACAAATGTTCTTTCTTTGTTATTTGATTAACTTTTTCTTTTGCTATGGTAAAACAAGCAGTAATGAAAATGGGTCAAAATGAAAAATCATTGGATTACTAGTCCAATATTTGTAGTCATGCAACAGTTATTTTGTAATTGTTTCTTGACTTATTAATCATATGATTTCATGAAGAGTAAATTCCATAAATGGTCGCTTCTAACAAAGCATTTTCCACATATAGTCCCTAATTCTGAAAAAGTACAGTAATGGGCCTTTATGTTCGAGAATTATTCCATAATCAGTCTTTTGAACCAAATATTGTTTTCCATAAATATTCCTCAAAGGACTGAATGACGAATTATGGAATAGTTCTCAAGTATCAGGGACCATGAATGTAACTTTTAAGAATTGAGGGCTATATATATATGGAAAACACTCTGTTATAAGGGACCGTTTATGGAATTTACTCTTTCAAGAATCTAGTCTAAAATTGATTCTTGTCCTTTCCGTTACAAAAAATGAAATTCGGAAACCATAAAGCCTTGAACAACAACTAAGTGATGTAATGTATGACATTATATCATTTTATTTGGGCTCGGTTCTTTTGACACCAACTTTGGTGTCATATAAATATACCAGGTTATTTGGGGTCCTACCGAGCCCCGTTAGGCCTGGAGCCAGGGATGGGTCAGGACTACAGGAGAGAGAGGTATGATGTTGCTTGCCCTGGGCAGGAACCAGTTTCAGGGATAAAAAGCACCTTGGGCCTGAAAATCACCTTGGTGTCATGGTGTCAAAACAATCAAGCCGATTTTGGTATATCCTTATCTTTGTACTCACTCCAAATAGAGTATTTTCAGTCAAATTGAATTAAATAAAAATTGCATTGCATCTTTTCATATGAATACAATGAAAAACTTTAATTTTTTTGCATGATGAATGTAATAAAATAATTCGTGTACTAATATATAAAAAAAAGTTTGTATTTAATTGGTAATGAAAGTAATTCCAATTTGATTGGGAAAAGTATATCTTTATCTATATCTAAGTGAATGGTAAAACTTGAATCTTTTTTAACAGCACCAGGTCACCAATTCTCGTTAATAGAGGATGGGTCCCGCTCAGTTGGAGAGACAAGTATTTGGAAATGTCAAAAGATGAGATGCAACCACTTAGTGTACTGACACCCTCAGCTTCAGAACATGAAAAATATTCATGGTGGAGAATTTGGTCAAAGAAACCCAAGTATTCCAAGGTTATTTTATTCTTGCATATGTCTGTCAACCTTAGTAATACCGATTTACGGAGTATATTTATATGAACACAAGAGTGCTTTATGTTGTACAAACAGGGAAACGTTAAATCTGTTATATCCCCTATAGAAGTTGTTGGTGTTATAAGAGGAAGTGAAAAGCCTAGCATATTTGTTCCGGAAAATGATCCAAACTCCAACCAGTGGTTTTATGTTGACACTCCTGCAATTGCCCGTGCTTGTGGGCTTCCAGAAAACACTCTCTACATTGAAGCCATCAATGATAATGTTGATCCCAGCAATCCATACCCTCTTCCAAAGGATCTTAATACATTACTTCGCAGTTCCGTAATGCCTCAAGACCATCTTAACTACACACTGACATGGTATTCCCTCTATTTCCTTATTCAAATAGGGTGCGCCTAATTTAGTTTTTGTGCGGAGTATTACATTAGATAATAGATATATTCATTTGTTTTTTTGTTATTAGTTCATTGTATGTTCATGCATGCGAAGGTGAAATAATAACATTTCCTACTCTATCCGTCTCAAAATTAGTGTATGATACAATTTGATAATAATTTTTCTTATTGAATAATGAAGGTTACGTCAATATATAAAGAGAATACATGGAGAATCCTAATTAAAGTAGAATAAGGAATTATGGTAACAATAGAATAGGAAAGTAAATGATAATATTTTATTTCCCATTATCCCTAATATTTCTAATAGTGCCTTGGTGTTTAAGTATTTATTATTAAGCTTGTGTAGTTTCCTTATATTGATTATACTTGGTTACTAAGTTCCTTGTACTCTTTTGAATGTCTGAACTAGGCAAAACACATTGTCTTTCAACACTTGCTCATTATTGGCCAGAGTGCATATTCTTCCATTTGTTATTTTTTTATAAAGATTTTTAATATACTTAAATAGTAGTAAAATTATCATCTTTTATATAGAACTTTTGATGTAGTTTATGCACTGACATTAAAGAATTGCTGCTTTAGACATGAATCTGCATTCAAAAAAAATATTTTGCAGGTATTCCCTGTCAGCTGCTGTGACATTCATGGCTTTTAAAAGACTAAAGCTTAAGAAAGGGCGAAGATAGTAATTCCCAAGCGGACACTTCTATACTTTTCTATTGAGAAGTTTGAGAACGATCAAGTAAGCATCGACATTTCTGTCTGTGAAAACAAACATCTCGACGTTCACATGATCCCCACAAGTATTCCTTTCTTCATATTTGTCTCAACACTTCCCTGCAAATATCGAGTGAAATATTCGTGTCATGGTCGTTGGACATTCTTTTATACCCAAAGAGTTTATGATTATTTGCAAACCTAAGAACATTTAAAAGTTATTTATTTGAGCGTTTAACGTGATGGTACGTTTGGATGATATGGTTTCATTTGAAATGCAGGATTTACTCTATGTTTCAGAGTTTGGAGATTATTACTGAAATGCATTAAAGTTCTAGTGAAAGGGTCTTTTGGCATGTGCCAAAAAATCTGACATAGAAAAAGGAAGCAGAGCATGAGATACCAGATAAAATGCTGGAGGAGAGAACAAAACAGCAAGAGCTGGAAAAACCAAAGAAGAAATCACAAGATAAAGGGGTTATTTAGCCAAATACAAGTGTTTTTGCTTGGGTTTACTCTTTTATACATTTACTCTTTTGACCCCTAACCCTTTCATAAATATTAGGACTCTTTTTGGGGCATGTGGCCTTAAAGAATCACATCTCAATGTTGATGATATGTTTACTTGCTTAGAGATATTGAAATGTAAAAAGTGAGTGGTTAGTTGTTTAGAAAAAAACTATTTTGGACCCAAGTAAAAAAATGAAAGAATTTTTTGAAACAAATGAAAAAAGAAGTGAAAGTTGTTTTGTACAATGGAGGAATAAACTAGAGGGTGTGGAATCCCTAGAAAAGAGTTACGAATGTCATATAATAGGTGTGAGTATGGTACGATTCGTAGGGATACTGTATCAAACATTTCAGTTCAATATACTCGTATGATTTTATATCCCATTGGTGTCGATTTTGAAATATCAATTCTGTAATCGGTATCATTTAGGATGGTTTGGTATCGATTTTGGTACAAATACAAATTAGAATGAATGTATACCTACTTAATTTGTATTATAAAATGTAATAAGATTCTTTATTTTTAAACGTTGAAACAACATTTAAATAAAGAAATATAAAAAAAATATTCAAATGCAAAAAAATGTTGATTAAATTTAGTTTTCATTTCACAAACTAAGGAAAATGAATAATACCAAAATAGCATTCCAAATGTGACCTAATATATCTAGGTTTATCTACAAAGAACTAAAATACGAATAAAAGTATATATTTAATAAAACTTGATCCAAAATTTTAAAATAAACTTACAAAGTTTATTTGATGAAAAATATAAAAATATTGTTACTCTTATAATATACTCCGTATTAGTGAATATGTTAGGTTTGAGATTTTCGGTATTGAAAGTAATCTTGTACAGTTTTCAAATATCGAACTAATTGTTTTGTATCGGTTTTTTTTAAATATTTTTTCGGTTCGATATTTTTTGTTTCGATATTTTTAGGTTTTTTGGTTTGATATTCTTTGTTTTTTCGGGGTCGGTTCGGTAGTTGCTCGCTCCTATCATATACCTTAGCTTTAATCGGCAAATTTTATTTGACATTGAGAACCACATGCAACGCAGCATGGCCCCCAATCGCCGGCATTGACCATTGGTACACCTCCGCACTCCACTGTTACACTGTCACGATTAACCTTGCTATATTGTGATCACACTATCAAACTCCTATTTAGAAAATAAAAACAACCGAACTCATATTCTGGTATTTTGATATCATTTAACTTCGATCAAGGGACATTTATATAGACCGGCTCAATTAAAATGACATCAAGCCTTTAGTATCATATTATGACTCTACCCAAAATAAAGTTCTTATAGTGTTTCATTCGAAAAATTGATAACTGATACTCTTAAATTTGGTATACATCCACTTTCGTTTGAGCCGGACCTATCATTCTTCACCTTCAATTGTAGTGGTGAACGTGGTATGGTATGATACGGTATTTAGCTCGTACCAATACGGTACCCAATATTTCGGTTTGGAGTGGGATTTTACGTTGTACCGTTCCCGATCTCGAAGCATCGGTTCGGTATGGTTCGGGATGATTCGGTATCAGTTTCGGTACTGTTCCCAAATATCGGACCGACTGTTCAATTCGGTGTGGTTCGGTTATTTTGTGGTACTTTATCGGTTCGATATTCTCGATTTTTTCGGGAAATATCGAGATCGATTCGGTCTTTGCTCACCTCTATTCAAATGTACTCTCTAAAATTTAGTTCATTTCTCAATAAAAAATTTCTTTCTAACTTTGCCCGTCTCCTCAGTAGAAAATCCAAAAAGTAGGTGCAAAAGGTCAATATGTTTTTAGTCTTGCTACAATTCTTCCACAGTTAACATTACATTATACTATAATTATTACTCTCTATGAATTTATTTAATAAAATAGTTATTCAGAGAAATTATATGTCTATCAGTCTACGAGCCATTATTTTTGGGAAGAAATTCACACACGGTGTCAACCACAATGATTTTTTTTCCCATGTTTTTTTTACCTGCAAGGTGAAACGCTCTTTGTTTTTACCAAATAAAGTTACTTTAAAGGGCGACATCATAAAAATCAAAACAGCTCACTCCAGTTTGTCATGCAAAAGGGCAATATTGGTGTTTGGCGGTTTGACCCCATCAAATTGTTTACCGAATTTCTTTCGTTTCTTTAAGAATGAGTGTTTTTTTGGTACACCATGAGTGTATACAAATATCACACCTTCTCATATAATTTTCTTTTATTCTAAAATCAAATACTTGTTTAAGTTATAAAGAAATATTTATTTTGGTCATATGTATGTCCATGATGGACATAAAATGTACCATAAATTTGCCTTTAAAGAATTAGGCCGCGTTTCGTTCGCTTAATCTGGTTTGATTCGATTGGATCAGATCTGATCTTATTATAATAGTAATAATAATAGTAACAATAATAATAGAATTAACAATAGTAATAGTAATAATAATAATAGTAATAATAGTAATAAGAATAGTAATAATAATAACTAGGAAAAATTACCCAAAATAATCCCAACTTTACTCGGTCTTTCAAAAATAATCACACCTTTCACTGTGATGCATAATAATCCCAACTTTATTAAAATTTGCCAGTTTTGGGTCGCCGTTAAGTTTCTAACGGAGGGTTAACGGAAATGCCCGTTTTAGGCAACAAAATGAAAGTTGGGATTATTTTTGATGAATTTTTGTTTTTTAATTTTTTTGAAATTTTTATTTAAATTTTTTGAATTATTTTCAACCTCCATTTCTTTTTCTTTTTTAAAGATTATTCTTACCATAGAAAAAAATAGATATAAAAAATAATGAAAATGAGAAAATAACTAAAACCATACAAAATTAATCAAATAAATAATGTCATCAATGGAAATTAAACAGAAACTGGTAAGAAATAAAATAAATATATACGGAGTGGTGGGTTTTAACATTTTACACACTATACGGAGTCTTAATGTACTACTTATTTTTTAAAAGAACAAGCCGTCCGGTAAAATTGGAATTATTATAGATAATTTTTTCTAAAAAATAAGAAGTGATATGTTAATACTTTGTATAATGCGTAAAATATTAAAACACACCCGTATATTTTTAATTTTACTTATACCAATTTCAAGTTAGTTTCCATTGATTACTTTATTTATTTTATTATTTTTGTATCATTTTAGTTACATTTCTCATTTTTTCATTTTTTTGTATCTATTATTTTTATTTTTTAAACTAAGACTAATCTTTAAAAAAGGAAAAAGAAATGATGATGGAGGTAGAAAGTAATTTTAAAAATTTAAATGAAAAATTTAAAAAAATTTAAAAAATTAAAATTCATCCAAAATAATCCCAACTTTCATTTTGTTGCCTAAAACGAGCATTTTCGTTAACCCTCCGTTAGAAACTTAACGGCGACCCAAAACTGACAAATTTCTGTAAAGTTGGGATTATTATGCATCACAATAAAAGGTGGGATTATTTTTTAAAGACCAGTTAAAGTTGGGATGATTTTGGGTAATTCTTCCTAATAACTATAATAATAATACTAATAATAATAGTAGTAATAATAATAATAACAGAAATATTGATAATAAAAGAAATAATAATAACAATAGAAATAATAATAATAACAATAATAGTAATAATAGAAATAATAATAGTAATAAGAATAGTTATAATAATAAATATAATAATAATAATAGTAATAGTAATAATAATATTAGTAACAATGATAATAATAATAATAGTAGTAATAATAATAGTAATAATAATAATAGTAATAATTTTAATGACAATAGAAATAATAATAATAATAATAATAGTCATAGTCATAGTAATAGTAATAGTAATAGTAATAATAATAATAATAATAATAATACTAACAATAATATTAATAAGAATAGTAATAGAAATAATAATAGTAACAATAATAATAGTAGTAATAATAAATCCAAATTTATAATTTATTCAAATTTAATTAGAATAAATAAATACATAAATAAAAACTTCTGATCTTCAAAGGTCTTTATCAACAATGAAGACTTTGTGTACTGGATTAAAGCAGTGAACTGGAATGTGGAAGCTGTAAACGAGATCTACAAAAACCAAGCACCGTAGAAGAGTAGCGGAATCACCGGAGCTGCCCTTAAGGTAGTAGTGTCCGCCTACCGTACTGGAAAAACGTAGGCACTCCCCTTCTAGGTTAAAACCACTATCATGTGTGGTGATTGTACGGACCAAACACACACCAACAAACAAGAACAATGTAGATACGTTGACGACCAAAAAAACCTTGAAGGGAATCGCCGGAAATTTGGATGGAAATCAAGAGCTCTCTCTTAAAAAATGAAAAGTTTTTTTTTCTCTTCTTCTCACGCAGGGCCGGTCCCGAGAAATCAAAAAATAAAATTGGCCCGGTCCAAAATTGCCACTTTGCACACCCTCCGGGCCACCCATGTTCTCACGTATCGCACATCAAAAGCGATCATCATGGAGCATTTGTTCTCTTTTTAATAGGCTAGTAGGTGAGAATTTCAAAGGTGTAACCTACACCATAATGATAGTCATAAGTGATGTATTAGTGGTGTGTTAACGATAGTCATTAAGACGTCCCTTACATTGCGCTTTGTTTAAAATTTATCTCGAATAATTGGAGATTAATGACAAGTTAACTCAGTAAAAATGGAATAATTTTAAACATTTTGTAAAAGTAATAGAAGATTGGTTCAATAAAAATATGGAGAAAAGTGCACTGTTTACCCCCAAATTCTTTAAGAATTGCATGGTTTACCCTTGAACATTAAAAAATGCACCATTTATCCTTGAACTCTTCAAAAATTGCACGATTTATCTCTAAACATTAAAAAGTGCACCAAATACTCCTGAACAATTTAAAACGTTGCACTGTTGGTCCTAAAATGTTAGATAGGGAGTGCATTGCTCCCACGCACGAGAATTGCGAGTACGATTCATCTGGCCCTTGTCAATTTTCTAAAGTACCCTTCCCCAAAATTAACATCTTTATTTAAATGTTCAGGTGTAAACCGTGCAATTCTCAAAAAGTTCAGGGCTATTTGGTGTACTGTTTAGTATCCAGGAATAAACCGTGCAATTTCTAAAGAATTCAGGGGCATTTGATGCACTTTTTAATATTTAGGGGTAAAGAGTGCACTTTTCTCTAAAAAAAAATATGCATGTACATGCATCAACCATTCTATTCTTTTTAAGCAGATCAGTTTTGAGAATCAATTTCTCATTCACCCTTCTACCATTTTTGGCTTATAATATATTTAAATACCTATTTATCTCTTTTTTCTAAGCGAACACACGTCCATTAATTAACGGTTAAAATCGTTAGTCGACTTATTAATAATTATGTTTAAAGTTGGTACATTTAATGCCTATTAAAATGCCAAAAATTTCAACATAAGTAGCAATGTTCTTGAATGTCTAGCCCACACACTCTCTTGCACAATTGACACATGGTTTCCATCTTCGGGTGACCGTTTCTTTTGTTGTAGCTTCTGCAATGTTTCTCTATGGTGACTGTGGTGGCATTTGGCCTTAACACTCCTTTGCATGATTGACACATTTTATGTTGGTAGCTCTTACAGCGTTCACAATTCAGTGAATGGTCTTATTTACACGAGACTCTACATATTCTTATACCAACCTTTACCATATCATTATCCTTGATAACAGCCTTTCAAAACATATGTTTAAAGGGTGTTTCGGGTTGTGTTTCAATGAAAATTTTGAATTTTTGTTTTGGTGAAACACAATTTTGAGCATTGGCCAAATCTTATCTAATTAGATCTAATCATGTTTGATTTGATCTGAATTTAGTAAGAATAAGTAATAAAATGAAAAATAAGTTGAACGGAACGGATCCTTAAACTTCAAAACTCTAGAAAAGACTCCATAAGTGCTTTTTAGCAAAATCAAGACCAGATACTTTACAATTCTGCTATTCTATTCTAATAGTACATCACACCCAAACACCCTCACACTTAAAGATAGATTTGACAAAAGTCTCGTTGGACCCAAATGGATGTATTCAAAACATGGGAAATCAAACCCGAACCGCCGCACCCAAAAAACATTAATACAAAAGGAACCAGAATCAAAGATGATCTGAACTGAACAGTCCAAACAATTTTTTTTTACGAAAACTAATGGTGTTTGGAAGACAAACCTAGTGCAATAAAAACCAGACAGCCCAAAACCCTTGAATCAAAAATCATTGAAAGCGAACTCTAGTTATGATGACTCGGAACCTAATCCGACACAAAGTTGAAGTAACCCAAACCAAATGAACCCATTGCAGGTCTAGTTAGGGTCCCCAAATGATATTTGGACCCGGGTAAAAATTAACGGATATTTGGGTTTTCTCAACCATCATAAAAGAAGCACTTAGTTGAATGGTTATGGTGTCTAACCAAACCACAAAAAGGGCATGTTTGGTTTTTGGCATTTAGGATGACTTTTGGTTGTTTTGATTTATTTTAGCAGATTTGACTAGTCAAACCGCCAAAAGGGTGTTTGGTAGTTGGCTGCAAGGGTTGGCTATTTGAGTCCGAAAAGCCAAAATTTTAGTTTGGCGGTTGGAAAATAGATTTTTTTATTATTTGTTATTGTATGTATTTTTTATGAAAAAATAAAAAATTATTATTTATTGCGTAATTAAATAAAAAATTGGTATACAAATAAATATATAAATAAAAAATTGATAAATAAATAAGTAAATAAAATAATAACTAAGAAAATAAATAAGTAAATAATATGTAAATAAATAAATAAATAATAGACCTTCCCCATGTAAAGTTCATGAAGCAATTTGCGAGAAAAAAATTCCGAATTTTTTTGTTCGAGGTTTTGGTGTAGAAATAAACAAATTATATATTTAAGAAATACATCAATAGTTTTTTGAAACAAAATATGATACTTCGTATAATTATATTATATTATTCTATCAATTGATTGATAAAAACACATAAATAAATAAAATCATAATGACTTTAAAACAATATATAGCTTATATAGGAAAGAAAGAATATATATATTGCAAAGCATGTTATACCATATAATTATATAGGTGAAAATTTCATTAAATTAAATTTAATTTATAAAAGTTATTTTGAAGAAGCTAAGTTTGTCAAATAATTTTTTATCAACAGCCAACATAATCAATTGGTCAAAACAGCCAATTGAACCAACCGTTCAAATCAGTCAACATGAACAACTATGGGCCAATAGTAAACAACTAAATTCCAAACAGGCCAAAGTATGGGGAGACTATAGGTGGGTAATTAGCTTTATGAATCTTTTCCGTGAGAGGAGGGAAAAGAAGGAAACGTTGGATGACCGGCAAACCCAAAGCTCTGAAAATGGATTCAAAGTTTTAGTGAGAGAAACTTGAAAGAGATTTCGCCATTGTGACAGGTGGTCTGTGTACCATTTCTGGTTGTTTTCTCTGTTCTCATTCTCAGCCTTTTTCCCCACCCCACTATATGTCTCTCCTTCCTTAGTGGGGTTTCTTCTTCTGTGTGGGGGTTTTGAGCATTTTCTTGCCATCTTTATCCTTCCTTTTCTGTAGTTTCCTGTTCTGGGTATTTCTTGGGGTTCTTGATTTTTCTGGGATTTGGCATTTGTAGGGGAGAGTGTGGAGAGATTTGGGGGTTTATTTTTTTTTTTTTGTGTGTGGGATTTTTGAGTTCTAGAGAAGTAATTGAACAGGAGTAGCAAAGGACATGGCTGGAGGAGAAGGAGCGAAGAAGGCAGACGGGGGAGGAGAGAAGGAGAAGAAGGCAGATGATCCATTTGCACCACACAAGATCGAAGATCAAATGCCCCATCTTAAGTACTGCATTGTTAGCCCTCCTCCATGGCGTAATCCTCCTAACTCTCCCTTTTAAAGAAATCCCATTAATATTGTTGTTATTGCTGGGCTGTTTTTTGTCGTTTAGAGAAAGAATTCATGGATGTAGTTCAGGAACATGTTTTTCTCTCTTATGATTGTGACTTCTTCCTTTGAGCTAGTTTCCTTCTTCATTGGATTATTTGGCTTAGACTCCGTACCCGTTTATGACCAAATGTTTCGATGTGGTTGCAGCTGAAGCCATATTACTTGGATTTCAGCACTATATCGTGATGCTCGGGACGACAGTGCTCATACCCACCATTCTGGTTCCTCAAATGGGAGGAGGAAAGGTTAGAATTGGGTTTCTCATGGTGTTTTTTTGTCTACTTGATTGGAAGTTGATTTTTGTTTGTTTTCCCCTTTCTACTCAGGAAGAGAAAGCAAAGATGATCCAGACACTACTTTTTGTCGCTGGTTTGAACACACTGATTCAGACACTGTTCGGCACTTGCCTGCCTGCTGTTATTGGTGGCTCTTTTACTTTTGTGCCTGCAACACTTTCAATTGTCCTCTCCGGCCGGTATAATGGAATCTTGGATCCTAAAGAGGTCAGAAATTGCATGGTCTGGAAGTTTATCCTCTCATATACTTCTTGGTCTGATAATCTGATGTTTTCTGTGTTTCTTGAGCAGAAGTTTGAGAGGATAATGCGTTCGATTCAGGGATCACTAATGGTGGCCTCAACTCTTCAAATCGTTCTTGGTTTCAGTGGCATGTGGCGAATTGTGACAAGGCGAGTTCAAATCTCATTTTTTGTCAAAGTTTTATACTACATGGAAAAAAACTTGGGTAGTAATGTATTAAGAGAGGAAAAACTGTTTCTCAACTTCAATTTGTCAAGCCATTCAATTGCTGAGTGGCATATCATTGTTTGTTTCCAATTTCAGGCTCTTAAGTCCAATTTCTGTTGTTCCTTTGGTAGCCCTATCAGGTTTTGGGCTATACGAGCTCGGTTTTCCTCTGGTATGCCATTTGGTATAAGTTTCACTTAGGAATTCATAGAAATGAAAACAGAAAACCATAACTATATATGGTTGCATTCGTAAACTTATTTAACGTTTATATGCGTCTAGGTTGCAAGCTGTGTGGAAATTGGACTGCCACATCTCATCCTTCTCGTAATCCTTTCGCAGGTATCTTCTACAAGAAATACATTAAGTACTCAAAATGTCTATGCACTTACTTGTGTACAAATTTGTATTCATGATTTTATTGTTACGCAGTACATACCCAACATGATGAATGGCACAAACACAAGAGATGTGTTCTACCAGTTTTCTGTTATATTCTCCGTTGCCGTTGCGTGGGTTTATGCTCATCTTCTCACAGTGGGAGGAGCCTATAAGCATGCCTCAATGAGGACCCAATTCAGCTGCAGAACGGATCAGGCTGGAATCATCTCCGGTGCTGCATGGTAAAAAAAAAAAACTTGGGCTCAAAGCCAAGACTTGGTATTTACCATCGATTCACGCCAGCATAAATTAAGCCGGTGTCTGTAAATTTCTGCAGGATAAGATTTCCATATCCATTTCAATGGGGACCTCCCATATTTCACGGGGGAGAAGCATTTGCGATGATGGCAACTTCATTCGTTGCTCTGGTTGAGGTAAAAGAAGCGTGCCACGATTCCATTTCTTTAGCTTGGTTTATACACTTTCAAGAAACTTGGAGTTTTTTTTTTTTGAAATAAATAAATATAAATTAAATAAATGTTGATTTACTCTCTTGACAGTCCACCGGTGCTTTCTTTGCTGTCGCCAGATATGCTAGTGCAACCCCACCGCCCCCTTCTGTTCTTGGCCGAGGCATTGGCTGGCAGGTGATTTAATTGTATTATTATTATTACTATTATTATTAATAATATTATTGTGAGTACTTATCTATTTGTTGCAGTATTTGTAATAAAAATAGTTTATCTTTAGTGTTTTCTTTGAAGACAAGTTATATTCCATGTGAGTTCACAGCTTGTTGTGATTTGTATTAGGGAGTAGGCACTCTGTTATCGGCGGCATTTGGAACCGGGACCGGGTCATCTGTCTCAGTGTAAGAATCTTTTCATTCTTGTAGAAAACTCTAATTTTATTTTTACTAATTTTGTTGTGTTTTAACACAAAAGGGAAGCATCTTTCTTTATTGTATATAGGGAAAATGCTGGTTTGCTAGGAGTCACTCATGTGGGAAGCAGGAGGGTTGTGATGATCTCAGCAGGTTTCATGATATTCTTCTCAATATTTGGTGAGTGCTAAATCATGGCTAGGCAAGGGGGGGCAAGGTTTAGGACCCTTACCCCATTGTTTTTCCTCTTTCCAGGGAAATTTGGAGCTGTTTTTGCATCTATCCCAGTACCCATCATTGCAGGCTTGTACTGCCTGTTCTTTGCCTATGTAGGTATGTAGTAAAACAAGGGTATTTTACCCGTCCGTAAATCCTTGAAAGACAAAACCCGAGCCGTGTAAAATTTTAACCACACAATGCAGGTTCAGCAGGCCTTGGGTTCCTCCAATACTGCAATTTGAACAGCTACAGGACTAAACTCATTCTTGGGTTCTCATTTTTCATGGGCTTCTCCATCCCACAATACTTCAACGAGTACACCGCGATCAACGGGCACGGCCCTGTACACACTAGAGCAAGATGGGTAATTTTTTTCTTTGCTCCCAACTACTTCGATATTAATCACGAAAAAAAAAAAAAATTGTCCCATAGAGTGTTCCAAAGAAGCACGTAGGGGTAGTATTGAATAAAAAACTGTTGTCTGTGTAGTTCAATGATATGCTGAATGTGCCATTCTCATCTGAACCATTTGTGGCTGGGCTGTTGGGGCTGATCCTGGACACAACACTGTATAAAGGGGAAACAGGGAAGAAGGACAGAGGGATGACATGGTGGGAGAAGTTCAGTTCATTCACAAACGACACGAGGACCAACGAGTTCTACGCGTTGCCCTTCGATCTCAAGTAGAGCTATTCCCCATCCCTGTGATCTAACTACTTCTTCCCCTTGCCACCACCATAACAGGCCATTTTTTTTGGATGCAGTTTCACACATTTGTTATATATATACATAAACATATACATATAGATATATTCTATTCATGTTAATGAGAATTATTTCCATGCTACACTAAACACACACATATATATATTCCCCACTCTTTTCCTTGTAAAGTTGTCAGAAGAAGTGAAGAATTCAGAATTTATCAAGGCTGCCAGGCTGGTTGATCATCTATTGTTTCTTACATGTTAATTATTTTTTTCATAGGGAACTTTGAGGATTGATATACAATTTATTAGTTTCTCTGTATAATGTACTCCCTCCGTCCTAAAACTTTTTTTCTCAAACATTATTCACATGGTCAAACTTTAATCACTTTCTTTACCAATTTTCGTTAGTTATTGGATAAAATAATATAGTCATGACATCTCTTGTTTTGTAGAACTTTTGATATAGTTTTCAAATATATATTTTTTATTTTTAATTTTACACCTAAAATCAAATAAGTTAAATTGAAAATAAATTATTTCAAGCCTCGTAAACCGAATTGAGAAAAAAGTTTTAGGACAGAGGGAGTAGTTGATTTTATCTGTTTGAATTTAGTTGTCCGCTTATTTTTTAGGAGACGCTCGGAATCAATTGCACGCAGGACGCTTGACTTATTTTATTTTCAATTCAATTTATTTGATTATAGGTGTAAAATTCAAAAATAAAATTTATATATATTTAAGAACTACATAAAAAAGTTCTTCAAAACAAGATTTGACATGACCATTTTATATTACAGAGTATAAAGTTAAAATAAGCAAATAAAGTGAATAAAGTTTTGTCGTATAGATAATATTTGAGCAATTCATTTCGTGGTAGAGGGAATGCAATATTTTTATAGCTACAACGGATTGGGTAAATAAACGACCTTTGAATCAAAAGCAATTGTTCTTAGTTTAAATATAATACAAGGTATTACACTACCAATATTCATTTGAATGTGCAAGGTTCAATTCAATATCATTCTATGACATGGCCCCTAATTAGGGACTTACGGTGCCCATTCGAAAAATTTGCGGTTCATATCCCCCTAATACCCTAGTAAATTCAAAAAATTTGCGGTTCAATTTTATTGACTCTAAAGTCAACTAAAATTACAGGGTGCAATTGAAGGAGCTGGCGTTGTCGATTCGGGTCGCGCCAGAGGGAAAGATTTACCGAAGATTAAGGGGTAGGAATCGTCAATTTTTTCAAAAGACACCATAGGACCTTCAATTGAGGCCGATGTCATGGGATTTCAATGTCAAGAGAACCCTATCATACTTGAAATTTTGAATAATAATGAGAAAAGTGTTAGAGGAAAATGAATAGCATAACGAAGGGCTAAGAAATTGCTTTAGTAGGCAAGAAGTGAAGAGGCTTGAACTAAATGTTGATAGAGATTGAACGAAAATAGCCAAGTTTCATTCGAACAAGCAATTATCATATGCTCTCTCTTGCTTGTACTCTTTTTGTATCAATTCGTACAAAATTATAATCCAAAACGAGAAGAGAGGTTTTATTTTTAATTGGCAAGGCGTGACTGTTTGGATTTTGTAACCATTGCACTCATGATCCATTAGTGATGAGTTAATTATAATTAGTGTTTTTGTTACACTACATATATAGTCGAACTTTGCCATGAACTATTTGATTAGACATTGATGGATTGTTAACTCTGTACTAAAATAGACTAACGCTTGGACCATAGGGCTTTAGCCTAATGCATATATGTCGTGAGGTGGTGAAAGGAGATAGGCCTTCAAAGCTTCAAATGAATGTTGGCATTCGTTGGTCCACATGAATCCTCTGGCCTTCTTGATCGTCTAGAAGAACGGTGCCGCTCGATCAACGATCTTAGATAAGAATTTGCTGAGAGCAGCTATCCTTCCGGTCAATTGCTGGACCTCCTTCACATTCTATGGGGGTTCCATATCCAAGATAGCCCGAACTTTCACAGGATTGGGTTTGATTCCTCTCCTGCTGACCATATGTCCTAGAAACTTGCCACCTTGTATACCGGATGTGCATTTCTTATGATTCAGATGCAAATTGTACATCTTCATGATTTGGAATACTTTCTCCAAATCTCGAGCATGTGATTCGACTCCTTTAGATTTGATGATCATGTCATCTATGTATGTCTCCATGCACCCACATAGAACAGGAGCAAAGAATTTGTTTATCATTCGGGCGTAGGTCGCCCCTGCGTTCTTCTGCTTGAATGACATCACTCAGTAATAATAAATCCATTTAAAGTTGTGAAAGAATTCTTTTCTTTATCACTTGAGAGAATCCAGATATGGTGATACCCGTTGAAGGTGTCCATGAAACTCATCAACTCACACCCAGCCGTCTCATCTACCAACTGATTGATGTTGGGCAACGGGAAAGGGTCTATAGGGCAAGCTTTTTTTAGGTCAGTGTAATCTACGCACATCCTCCAGGTATTCCCTTTGGGTGTGAAGACCATGTTTGCCAACCATTCGAGATATTTTACTTCCCGGATATGCCCAATGGACTGTTAGGTGTTCACCTCCTTAACAAATTCCCTTCTCTCAGAAGACAGAAAATGCTTATTCTATTTAACCGGTTTGTGGTTAGAGTCAACCGCTAGCTTGTGATAGATGATTTGCTTGTCGACCCCTGGCATATCTCCCGGGCCCAAAGCAAACAAAATCTTGAAGGCCACAAGTATGCTTACTAACTGAGCCTTCAACTCCTAACGTAGGGCTCCTCCTATTTTCACATTTTGATCTGGTCTCGCCGGATTTAAGGCCACCTCCTCTATCTCTTCGGCCGACTCAGCTCTGGGTTGGCCTTCCTCTCTTAGAATTTCTGCACAGATGGTACAAACATTCTCATATACTCAGGCGTGCTTCTTGGTTTCCCTCGCATAACACAACCTGGACAAGCTTTGATTCCCCCTCGCGACGCCTACTCCCATCGGTGTAGGGAATTTCAAACACAAATGGGCCGGGGAGATAACTCACTCCAGGTCCTCGAAGCCCGGTCGCCCTAGGATTAAATGGTGTGCACAATCAAGGTGCACTACCATAAACTCCATATTGAGCTAGACTTTGTGGGTGCCATATCCGACCTCAACCTTGACCGTTATCGTCCCTTCTGCCTCTATTGTATCTCTAGTAAATCCACACAATGGGGTGTGGATGAGCTTGAGGTTTACCCGTGACAATCCCAATTCCTTGAATGTGTTGTTGTGCATGATGTTCACGAAACTCCCCGTATCCACTAGGGTTCGATGAACCACCACCTTGTTTTTCTCCACCCTTATTACAAGGGCATCTCTTTGAGGGCTCACCACTGGTGGGTAATCCTCGTCGGTGAACAAGATTGGCTCTCTCTTCTTCTTCATCGGAAGGGGAGGTCTCTGGATCTCCATCAAATGAACCATATTCTTCCATTTCTTCTTGGTGGAAGCGAAATCTTCACCTATATTGCCGCCCATGATGAAACAACATCCTAGGTGCCGCGGGGTTTTCCTTTCGTCTTCATTGAGGTCGTCACACTCTCTCCCCAGGTTCCTTCCTCCATCATCTCGGTCGTCCCCATTCGTGATCGGCACACGCTTAGTGGGTGGCCTTCTCCAAGTACAAGTTCTTGGAGCCCAGGCGTCGGTCAACCTCCCCTAGGTGCAGATCCCATTGCGATCAACTGGTCCATCTCCCTCATCAGCATAATGCACTTCACTGTATTGTGGGTGCTATTACGGTGATATTCACAATATTTGGCCACATCCTTGACGTTGCAACTTTTACGGTATTAAGATGAGGAGGGGAGATTTTAAATGGCGTGAATAGGCATCCTTCATGTTTGGTATCCTACTGGGTTAGGGCCCCTTATGTAGTCCTTCTTCTTTTTATCCTTTGACTCTCTTGCTATAGGCGACACCTTCTCGTTCTTCAGAATTTCAGCCTTTGGTTCCTCGTCGTCTTCTTTTAGAGCTAGGTACTTGGATCTTGCCAGCATCTCTTGGTGAGTTGGGAGTGGATTCCTCCTCAGTTCCTTGCGCACAACCCCTTGGGGGAGTGCTTCTTGGAGCATAGCGATCAGAGCTTGGTCGTCCGCCCCTTGGACGCCCCTTACCTCCTTCTCCCAACATGATATAAAGTCCTGGAGTAACCTTCGAGTGAACCCTCCAAATCTTGAACAATTCTAATATATTGAAAATTAATGTCAAAAGATGAGTCCGTATATGTTGCAACCGCCTGTACCAGAAGTAAGGTACAGCCGGCCAGCGGGGTAGTACTCATTTTGAAGTAATGTAATACTCATTCTCGCACAAAATATAAGTGTTTATTTTGAAATACATAGTACTCATTCTGCAGTACTTATTTTGAATTAACGTAGTACGGAGTACTAATTTTCACATATTTATTCAATACAATTATAATATTCATTTACGAATAACGTAGTATTCATTATGATACAAAGTAGTGCTCATTCTCAAATAACGTAGTGCTCATTCTCAAGTGACGTATAATATATTTCCTTCACATTTGGAAAATATAGTCTAATAATCTTACCGCCATCATCTTCATAGCATCTCACTGTTGCAAATCAATCAGGCATCTTCATCACCATAGACCGCAGTTAGGGTTTCCTGCAGTCGCCTTCATCATCCATTGACGCGCACCCGTGCTTTCTCGATCTCGCTGGATCGACACAAGAAGGGTAGGCAGCCCAATTCGGGTCGGATCTCCGCTCCTCCCCAATCACGTAGCCTCCTAGTGATTTCACAGAAATTTTACGCCGGCTGTACGAAAAGAATCATACAACTAACTGTACGAGAAGAATCATACAGCTAGGTGTACTGTATAATTTTCTTTAAAAGATTCTTGTTAAATTTTAAAATAAATTAAAATGAAATTTGTAGGATGGCCGAATACGGAGTAAGTGAGTAAAACTGACAAAGAAAAATACTCTAACAGTAACTTCGTAGAACGGAAAAAGTCAACATGAACAGAGCCATGGTCCAACTAAAATCACTCCACCCACCCACCCACCCACCCCCTCCCACCTACTCAA